TGGCGAGCCCACGCGCCCTACAGTGAAAATCTCTCCAAAAAAAATAAAAAATAAAAAAATAATAAAATAATGACAGTAAATAAAAATAAAATAATTCCTTTTAAAAATTAAATAAAATAATTTTTTTTTGTTTTAGAATTATTTATTCAGTTTTATTTATTTGTTTATTTAATTTGAATGGAGAAGAGACAGAGGGTGGGGGAGAAAGTAAGAGATCTAGCTACCAGGTCTGAGATTTGAACCAGAGTCATCCATGTGGGAGTTCAGTGCCTTAACCACCATACTATCTGCCAGTCCCATTAATTCTTTTTTTTTAAAAAAAAAAAAAAAGAGAAAAACTTGCCACATCTAGCTACCAGGTCTGAGATTTGAACCAGAGTCATCCATGTGGGAGTTCAGTGCCTTAACCACCATACTATCTGCCAGTCCCATTAATTCTTTTTTTTTAAAAAAAAAAAAAAGAGAGAGAAACTTGCCACGTATGAGTGCACGTGTGCTTAAAATCCCAATTGAAGGCAGAGATGGGAGGAGAAAATATTGCAGTATGACCATTCCATTCCCCATGGAAGTTGTCTTTTCCTGTCCCTCTCTCTCTGCTGAGCATGTGTTCTCTAGCAAATAAAATCCTATCATTCACCCTAGATTCTGTGTCAGCTCTTTTCAAGGAAAGAAGGAAATACTGTTTTAAATATACATGCTTAGAGACAGAGGGCAAAGGAGAAATCACTCCCCTAGGCGGTGGCCACACTTCTTCTTTATTTTCTTCTTGGGATTTTGGGCATGCATGCACATGCGCCTGACACATTTTTTTTTTACCTCCCGGATCTGGGACTTGAACTATGGTTGACCATGTGGGAATCCATAGCTTTAACCACCTCACTACCTATGCATACTTTTTTTTAAAGCCACTAGAGAGCAAGTTTAACCATGCTATTAGCTGCCTCTGTATTCTTCATTTGCTTAAGAGTCTCTGTGGTAGTTATTGATTTGATTGTTACTAAGACTCTTAAGTACTTACGGTCTTTAGCGGTTCTATGTAGCATCATGGAAAGTGTTTTTGTTTTTTTTTTTTTGGGAGAGATTTTCACTGTAGGGCACGTGCGTTCACCAGACAGACAGAGACAGAAAGCGAGAAATCACCCCCCATGGGGGATGGCCACGCCGCAATCCCTTCTCCATTCTCCTCTTGTGATCTTGAGCATGCATGCACATGCACCCGGCGGGAGTTTTAAGCCACCGGGTCCGGGACACGAACCGCGGTCGACTATGTGGGAGTCCAGCGACATAGCCATTACACTAACTGCTGGTTCCCTGGAAAGTGTTTTCTAAAACCTGAATTAATCGTCATGACCTCTTCAGCACTTGACAGTGTCATTGAGCGGTTCTATGTAGCATCATGGAAAGTGTTTTCTAAAACCTGAATTCATCGTCATGACCTCTTCAGCACCTGACAGTGTCATTGGTAATTTGCATGTGGACACTTAATCACAACCATGAAACAACTTCTTTCTCTACCTGAGAAATGACAAGTTTCTTTTGCAGTCAGTTAATAGGAAGGCATACCAGTTTACACAGTTTTACTATATGTGATAAGCAAGGGAGTATTGTAGAATTCAAGAAAATGTCTTTTAAGCAGAAATAATATTCATGGGTACTTGCATGTGGTTTTAAGTCAAAGATCTAAGATCATCCAAAGCAAAAATGAAGAAATACTGTCAAGTTTTACAAACTGTCTAGGGAGAGTAAGTAGTCTTGTAAATATTATTCCCCAAGTCTTAATGTCTTCTCAGTTCAAAATTTGGGAGAGGAAGATAGCAATAAATCAGATATATATCCTAAATAGCAAAGTCATAGACTTTAAGTCCTGTTTTCTGTCTTGTATCTTTTCATTCAAGTATTTTAATGAGGGTTTTTTTTTCTCTCTCTCTTTTTGGAGAGGTTTTTGCTATAGGGCGTGTGCGCTCGCCAGACAGACAGAGACAGAAAGCGAGAAATCACCCCCCATGGGGGATGGCCACGCCGCAATCCCTTCTCCATTCTCCTCTTGTGATCTTGAGCATGCATGCACATGCACCCGGCGTGAGTTTTAAGCCACCGGGGTCCAGGACGTGAACCACGGTCGACTACATGGGAGTCCAGCAACATAGCCATTATGCTAACTGCTGGTCCCTAGAATGAGGTATTTTGTAATAGATTTTTAGAAAGGAGAATTAGAGATTATTTTTGTGACATGGTCTGTTTATTAGCAAATCTGTTCTATCTTCTGGACTTCCAGGACTGTACGTTATAAACTTTTAGCAAACGAAACAAAAAACACACTCAGTGGAATCATTGCTTTTAGTGTGTTAAGTTGTAAAATCTATAAAATGTGATAGGGTTATAAAGCCAATGCATTTTAGAACAAAATATTGGTCACTGGCTGTTATCCTACACCTGTGCTACAATGATCTTGCACATGTTTAAATTGGAAAAATGCTTATCCCTTCGCTCATAATAAAATGTTTTGAATATAACTTAAATGAAAAATAGGGTTATGGATGTTATTTCTAACTTTTAGAATTTGTATCTTAGATGGACCCATCTTACAAACCAGATGAAAATGAAGTCCGAACTCTCTTTGGTCTTCGTTTAAGCCAGAAAAGGAATAATGGCGTCATCGACAAATCACTATTTAGCAATATTGTTACCAAGAATAAAGATGTAAGTTTGAAAATAACTATATGCTAGTAATTTCAGTATGTTTATTTTTAATATTTATAAGGTTATGTACTTTATTATGGCCTAGATTTAGAACTGATTAATATACAAATAACTAGCTTATCTTTATCAAGTAAGCCTGAGGCCCTAAATTTTTTTTACAAGACTGTGTTAGAAGCTTGTGTGGATGGGATCATGGCTTTTATAATTTTTTATACCGTTACTTGCTTTGTTTTCATGCACTAGGCTGCAGTTGTGTTTCTTTATCAGTAAATATGAATCCGCATCTTTGTCTGCAAGACCGCTCGGCCATCCATGTGTAGGTGTACCGTGGTAGATATTTACAGTATTTCCATGTTTAGTGCTACAGTCAGTCTTTTTGTGTAGACAGTGCATTTGTGCTGTTTATTTTGTTAGAGGAATATATTTCTAGCACAATAATAGTGCTTTTGGGATCTGTGTATGTTTCCTCTTTTAATACTCACATTCTACTGTGGAAGGTGACTGTCTCTGTTGTAAAGATTACAAAGTTGGGACATAAGATATAGTTACAAAATTTACTCATGGTTATACAATAAGGGGATGGATGAGGTGATACTGTTTTCTGAAATAGCGTAATTGTGCCTTAGTTTGTGAGGGTATCTTTGCCAGATCCAAAGTTGGCTGGACTTTTTCCTCGTTTTTCAGAGATATTACACCATTGTTTTCTGGTCTGTCTGCTGGTATGCCTGCTATTTTTAACCAAATGCTGGACATTGGGTGTGAATAAACTATAGAGATTCAGACAGTCCCCACCTTACTATAATTTAACTTATGCCTTTGATTTTTCCACTTTACAGTAGTGTGTAAGCAATGCACATTCCGTAGAAATTATACTGTATTTTTGGGTTTGGATGTTGTAATCTTTCCTCTAAAAAGTTACCGTATTCTTCAGACAGGCAGATAAGTGGAGCAGATCATCTTCATTCTGATAAGAGTAGAGAGAATATAAATTTGGGCTTCAGTCTTTGTGAGACTGCAGTGTTTATGGTTTACCCCGAAGCTACTGAAGCCTGTAGTATCTTTCTGGTATCTGTCTTCCCAGGTGTCCTCTGAGCTCCATTTTCATCCCCTGGCGCTGTAAGACTACTGAAAGCTGCGCTCAGCTGATTTACCTCTGAGTTTATTGTGTGCAACTTGGAAATGCCTGAGGGGATGCATAGAATGTCAGGCGCACTTTGTCCTGCTTTCTTTAATTCTGAGATCTTTGCCTGTTGGTAACTTGTGGAATATCAGCTCTGTGTCCAGTTTTTCTCTTTGTTTCTGGAAGAGTATTGGTCTCTTAAGTCATTCATGTAACAGAAGTGAAAGATGAGACAGCAGCGTGTCCCAGGTCTGATTCCTGAAGCTTTAAGTGGACTTGCGAAAATAAATAAATTTCAAAATCTTTATTGGGAGGGACAGCCAGTGGCATGGTGGTTAAGGCAGCTTTATCTCATACGGTCAACTGCATAGTTCGAGTCCTGGACCCAGCAGCTTGAAAAGCACTTTTTTTTTTTTAATTGTGTGTACTTATCAGAGACAGAGAGAGAATGAGAAAGCACCTCCCACATAGAGAATGATCACACTAATCCTTTTTCCTCCGTTCCTCCTTTTGGGGTTTTGGGCATAACTAACACACATATGTGGCATGTTTTTTAAGCTACTGGGTTCTGGACTCTGATCAATGTGAGCCACGTGAAATTCAGTCACCTTAACTACAAATCCAGCTGCCTTGACCTCCATGTTTTTCAAGCTGCCAGAGCCAGGATTTGAACTGCAGTCAGCCATGTGGAATCCAGCTTCCTTAAGCAGTATGCTATGCAGCCAGCCCTAAAGTTATTTCATCTTGATTAGATCAGATTTCTCAGTTTTTCAGTCAATTTATCAGCTAGCTGCAGCTAATATCCTTCTTCCCGTTAGCGTATCAACATGGATCATTGTCTTTCTTTTTCATTTTTATTTACTCTGTATATTAAAGATGTGATATTTTTGACTCTTGTCTATTTTGACTGTTCAAAATATAATTTTTTAAAGAATGATTTTTATTTAACTTTACTCATTTATTTTAATTTGACCAGAGAGGGACAGAGAGAGAGAGAGAGAGAGAGAGAGGGAGAGAGAGCAAGTTGCCAGGTCCAGGACGTGAACTGCGATCAGCCATGTGGGAGTCCAGACCCCTTAACCACCACTTTGCCTGCCGGCCCCCAACAATATAATTTTTTCATAATTTCTATTTAGAATATTCTACACAAAGGAGAAAATGATCCTAATATGATTTTTCTCTGAGCAGCCTTGACTGTGCATATCCATCACAATGGTTGGTAAAGTCTATGAAAATAATTTTCAGCATTGTTTCTGAACGCAAGTTTTAGCATTTCTCCAGATATTTAAAGATACTCTGGATAGGAAAGATTATATGAGGAAACTTCATCAAATTCATGAGGAAATGAAATTAAAGATTATTTTGATGCAAAAAGTGTTTGACATCCATACATAGTTTTTCTCCTAATACAGAGTTTTTATAAACTTTTTTAAGCCCTCCCCTGCATGTCATTTGGAGCGGGTATGATATTTCATATCAGTGTGATAGACATGAGTTTAATCCGTAGTTGCCGCACAGTGGCATTAGTTGAGTCTCTGGCCTTGTGATAAGGCCTTGTGTTAGGTTCCACTACAGATATGTTAAATATTTGATCCTTTTAGTAAACTCGTAGTGTGTAGAGTGAATACTTCATTTCACCCTGTCATGTAAGAGCCATAACTATATTGTAGATGTTTTATGTTAAGTGGCATATAGGAAGCTTACGTGAATTTAAAACCTCTTGAGATTTTCTGTTGTGTGTGTGTTTCAGCTGCCGGAGGCCGCCCTCAGAGACCTCATTGTAGCTACCATCGCTGTCAAATATACACAGTCGAACTCTGTGTGCTATGCCAAGAACGGGCAGGTAACCAGGCTGGCAAACTCACCTCAGGGGCACTGTTGTTTTACAGAAATATGATATTCAAAAATCCATCTGCCTCAGGTACAGACAGCTTGGAGGGGAAAATCTGCCAGGTTTTTCTCTTCCAGGCTTGTCAGTTTACTCACCACCTCGGTAGAGTGTTAAAGCTAATGACAGTCACAAAGTATCTTTGGAACCAAGTACTAAAATTAGTCATATCATTTCTTGCCTAGAATGAGTTGGCACATTTGGGATTGGTGGGACTCTAATAGTAGCTACAAAGCCGGTTTGTTCATTTTCACTTCCCTTCCTTGGTAGTAAATTCCAGTGTTGAAGAAAAGCACGCTGTTACCACCCTGCAGCCTGTCTGCGGCTTGCAGGGTACTTTGACATTATGTTTATGTTGTCTTATTCGGAATCTACTGACTAGAAAGACGGCCAGGCTAGGACTTAACCTGATCAGGTTTATTGAGGCATAATTTGTACACAGTTAAATTTATATAGAATTTTTACATAAAGAATTCAACTGTCTTTTTATATGTATTTTTTAATTTACATTCACTCACTGTACATCATTACAGCATACAAAATGAGATTTTCCATCCAGAGTACACTGTATATTGTCTCAATCAAGCACGTCAACATACATGTTATTGTCAACAAATAATTTTCCATTTCTTATTTCCTGTATGTTTTGCTTTTTTCCCCCCATCCTTGATTCCCTATCTCTTACCGTCTGCCATCTCCCACTCTCCCCCCACACTGTCTCTGGTATCTATGTTTGCTTTCTATACTGTTTTTCCCCCACATTTTATTGAATTACTAAAGATCTTAATTAATCTAAATATTTTCACGGCAAACACAGCTGATGTATACATTTCCATGAACACAAGTCTAACTTTAGACATCCTATAAAGTAGCACCTAGCTGGGGCTATATATTTTACTGTAGTCATCAAATAGATATATCTTTTTTTCTGAAACTTTTTTTTTTTACTTAATTTATTTTCTTT